ATCATTTGGGTTTGTTTGGTTTGTTTGTGTTTTATGTCCTATTAACAGCTATGGTTATTTAAGAATGTGCCAGTATTTGGGTGTGGAGAAAAGCCGGAGTTTCCGGAGAAAAACCACCGACCTACTAGCCAGTACCTGGTGACTGCCCCACATAGGTCTCGAACCCACGACCCAGTGGTGGAGGGATATTGGTATCAGATTGTCAAAAGCCTTAACCACTTGGCCATTGCGGCCCGTCATACGTATCACAGTAATAGGGTGGTTGGTTTGTAAGGTCTGTACTATACAGTGTCCTCCTATACAGTGTCCATATGGCTAGATTATAAGTGGACAACTTTATGGACAAAGTAATTTTCGATTACAACTGAAAATATTTTAGTGGTGACTGGTTTAGAAATTATGTGGTCTGTTGATCTCAGCACTGTTGGGGCTTGGGGGGAGGGGGTTGCCGTTAAAAGGTCCTAGGGGGGGAGTGCTGAATCTTAATTTCACTCTTATTCTGTGGCAAACTAGTGCTTTTAATATAGGAATTTGTGCTGTAATAACAGGGAAGGACCATGTCTGGGTGTATATATAGTAGTGGGAGGGACCATGTGTGTATATCACTGTAATATACATTGGTCGGAGGGACCACGTGTATATCTGGTATCATTAGTACACTACTGTTATTGGGTTTACACTGTGCTAAGTTGAACCCAGTATAACTATCTCACCTCACAAACTTAGGATGGTCACTCATAGCACCATAGAAAACAAATTTCCTGTAAAAATTGACCTTCAACATTTGATCTCTAAAAATAAAGGTAAAAACTACACACTGATACATAATAACATGCCCAGATATTCAAAGAGCTGTTATGCTAATGTATCATTAAATCAATTTTCAAATTTTAGCCAACCATCATCTGATGGTTGGCTATTGAAACTGCCCTTCCCCCGTAGGCTGTGACCTGTCTGTCGTCAGTCATTCGTTGTCTGTCCATTGTCCATCCTTCAACAGTTCTTGTCATTGCTATTTCATTGTGGACACCTGTGCACAGTGGTACCTCTTTTATCTGTCAGTGGTAGACTGGCACATGTGTACAGTGGAACCTGTTTAATCTGTCTGTGGTGACTGGCACCTGTGTACAATGGAACCTCTTTAATATGTGTGGTGACTGACACATGTGTATAATGGAACATCTTTAATCTGTCTGTGGTGACTGACACCTGTGTATAATGGAAGCTATTTAATCTGTCTGGTGACTGACACCTGTGTACAATGGAACATCTTTAATATGTCTGTGGTGACTGACACCTATGTACAATGGAACCTCTTTAATCTGTCTGTGGTAGACTTATTCTGTTCCTATAACTGCTATAACCTGATATAATATTAGCAAATTTAGCCTGTAGATATGTTTTACTACTTTAATTGGTGAAGTACCTTACTGCTATGACCTTGTAAAGTATAGAACGGGTTACATTGTTAATCTAAACTTTCACGTTTTGTTTGAAGTAATCATCTGGTCAATTTTATTAAGAAACTTATAAATTTCAATTTACAATTTCACTTTATTTCATCTGTCTGAGGCAGCTTTGTGTATTTGTTGATAAGTGTATTATGTATTACTTCATTGTCCTGACATTTACTGGGTCCATCCCACGTCCTCAGACATAGGAGAGTTCGGCAGCCTTGAAGTCATATTAGAAGCTTGAAACATCGTAATATTTTATCTGTGTACACACTTGGAATCAGCTTTCCTCTACGATCTCCCGCTGTCTTTGGACTTAGTGCCCAAACACCAAAGGTTCCCCAGCCCCATCTACATATATACCTATCCTTGATCCTCTCACATTGATTCAGTCGTAAGGTGTATTGCACAAAACTAAACAATACCTGTACTGGTCATATCCCGTGGTCAGCACGGTCAGTGCAGGGCTGATTGGACAAGCCTGAAGGGCAGGATGTCCAAAGTTATCACCGTTATTGTTGCAATCGTCAGTTTAAATATGGTCTGGTATTTCAGTTAGAATGTTTCTAGCCCCTTAGGTGTGAGAGGAGATAAGTCTGGATTAAGGATGACCAGTCAATTGATGTGTATGTCCAGTCCCGCCAAACTGACCAGTTTGCTTACATAGATAAGTCTGTGTATCAAGTAGGGCTTACAAATCAGCTGATTAGGACCAGCATAGAGGTCAGTTTTTACCTGTGGCGTAGGATCAGAGCGGTGGATCAGGGCGACGGTGTTTAGGTACATACCTACCTACCTCAATTTTGTTTTGATGAATGGACATAAGGAGGCGGAAATGGCCAGATTAAGTTTGTATACAAAGTGAAAAGTGAAGTTATCTTTGTAATGTAGTCACAGTAGTGGGCAGGTCCATCACACCACAAAGCGTGGACGCCACTTCCTCCCAGAGACACTTGAGCCAGGTACAACCTCTGGCCTCTGTACCCAATGATCCTAAGAATCCCTGTGCCACTGCCAGAAAATGAAACTATGCATTCAAAACTTAATTTTATTGCCTGACTATAGCTTTGATACCTCATTTAAAAAACCCAAAAGTATACCATGAAGGACATTAATGAAAACAAAATGGAGATGAAATAAACCAAATATAATCAACAAACGTGTTCTGCGTGTAAAGTATTCTGCTGGGCCAGACAGGGATTCGAACCCTAGACTTCAGATTGTTATGACATTGCTGAAACTGGGAATTGTACGAGCCCTAATGTGCTAGTTATATCCAATCAGAAGTTAAGGGGAGGTTACTGTATATAGGAAAAACCACAGTGCATTGGACAGGGATTGTTAAAGTAAAGAAATTCAGTACAAAGTAAAAATAGAATATTTTTAAAATGTAAGATAATAATTAAAGGAAATTACATGAAATATCAGATGAATAAATGCATTCTTATCTTTTTTGAACACCTTGATTTTGCACCTGTGTGATTCAGGTGTGCAGGATAGGTAACCAATCACTAATTACCTCTGTTGCTTCCCATCTCTTTAACTGGCTTATGTAGTACTCAACTCCTCAGACAGTTTTTTGCCTTGAGTTCTTTTTAGCTTTGAAGTTGATTTCTTATTAAAACAAAAGACCAAAACCTATTACATCATTATTTCATAGATAACACATCAAGATAGAAGTCTCCAACAGATCTGGTTAGGCCCTCATTTGGGTTACTTCCCAACCACAATAATTCAATCTTGGCCTTCACACTCCTCCTTACCAATAGACCTTTGATTTGCTAATAAAATACCTACACTTCGAAACCCTGCCAATTCCTAGACTCTGTTAACCTAGTTAAGGACTCTGCTTCACAGACAACCTTAGGCATCTCAATACATGATGAAATCTCATAAAATTGGCATATTCTTATAAAATTATTTTGTGTACATATGATGTGATGAAACGTGTACAAAGCTGTGTAGTTTGCTACTAAAAGGAACTTGGTCTCCATCCAAGTTATTCTTTAAAAACATGAGGGTAAATATTTTATACAATACACCAGGGGAGCCTGGAGGGATCACTGGGAGGGGTTTATCTATTACCAGGGATTAGGATCATATGTAATGATATTTGGCCAGTAGCATGCCCGGATGGAAGACTCCCAAGTTTGTTCAAATGAACAACCTTTGGCAATATTCAAGGTCACAGGGGTCAGATATGTTGAAATCTTAAAAAATCTTCTTCTGAATAACCAAAAGGCACAGGGTGATGATATTTGGCCAGAAGCACACAGTGCTTTGATATAGGAGCGTATTTCAGATCTAGTCTCAACCTTCATTTTAGCATTAAAGAGTAGCCATTAGTCACAAGTGCAAACCATTCAGCAATGAATTACTTGTTCAATTCTTGTTGGAATTTTGCAAGTGCATTGTTCTTTAAATGATTTTGCAGTCTGCCAAGGCGCTGAACTATTGTATTGCCTGTTGTACTGGAGCTCTGTGGTGAAAGAATTTAGTGAATGGCCCTCGTAGAGCTCACTTATCTTTTATCTTAAGTTATTGGTGCTCCCAAAGAGTGGTTTTATTTTTGATGTCCAGTCTCACAAATATAGATTTTGATGTCCAGTCTTCCAAATATGTGGATTTGGTTGTCCAGTCCTGTTTAGCTACTGGAGGTGATTTTGTGTGTTTTCTGTTAGCACTAAACCACACTTAATCAGATTGTCAAGAAGAATATGTTTTTAAACATAAACCACAGTGAATATACACTTTCTATTCAGATCCGAAAAGCCGTGGGATGTTTTGTTGTAAGGTGAGTTTAACCTGCTAGAATTAACAGTCCTGACGTTGGTGATCATAACAAGGGGTTTAATTCTTGCTGAGTCTGTAAATTACTCTGGTCACAAATAAACAAGTGCTGATAGTGATTCCACGTCTTTTGTGTGTAACAATGATGAAGCAGAGGAAATACCAGCCAGGCTTTGAAGTATATAGACCTATATCCCTAACGTAAATCCTAGTAAGATCAAGTTTAAATGGGCAACAGGATATATTGAATAAAGGCAGGTACCCGATATCTAGGTAGGCATAGCTGTGTTTGATCAGGGTATAAGCCTGCCTCGCTGGGGATTATCTCCTATCTCTATATTAGCTCCTATATCTACCCAGAATTTTAGTGTATCTTTCGTGACAAACCTACTTTAATTAAAGTAAATTAATAGTTATTTAAGAAGCAAGTTTAAATCCTCTCCTCAATACCCAATTACACCAGCTAAACTGGCAGTATGATGAATGGTATTATTATGGACTATACCAGGCTATTTCGTCTATGTACACAATATGACAAATACATTTTTCATCTTTCACAGGAGGTGGGCCGTAATTTAGGAATTAAAAGATTAGAAGGAACTTAAGATAAATATTTTCTCTTTAGAATGACGGAAATGGCTTTCTGATTGTGTGCGGAGCGTGTAAAAACAGGAAAAATCTCATCATTAATTTGTTGGAAAGTCTTTGATGGAGTTTGTGACCTCAAGTTTCCCAGACTGTGGGACCTGATGTTACTGAGCTTCAGCAGCTGTGTAACGGATCAGTAGTACCTCCCTCCCTATGATCCCAATCATCTGTTCATCACCCCCTCTGGTGTCAGACATCCTCCCCCGGAGCCTTGTGATCAACCCCTCCCCCAGAGCCTGGTGATCAACCCCTCCCCCAGAGCCTGGTGTCAGACATCCTCCCCCCAGACACTGGTGATCAACCCCTCCCCAAGTGTCTGGTGTCAGACCCCCTTCCCCAGAGCCTGGTGTCAGACATCCTCCCCCGGAGCCTTGTGACCAACCCCTCCCCCAGAGCCTGGGGTCAGACCCCATCCCACAGAGCCTGGTGTCAGACCCCATCCCACAGAGCCTGGTGTCAGACCCCCTCCCCCAGAGCCTGGTGTCAGACATCCTCCCCCCAGATACTGGTGATCAACCCCTCCCCTAGTGTCTGTTGTCTGAGCCCCTCCCCCAGGGCCTGTAGTCTGAGCCTCTCCCACTGGATGTCCAACCCAGTCCCCCAGAGCCTGATCCCCTCCCCCAGGGCCAGGTGTCCGACCACAACCCTCAGAGTCTGGTGACCAACTTCCCTCCCCAAGAGACTGGTGAAATGACTTCTACCTGTGTTTTGACAAGATAATGTAAAAGACCAGTTGATTAAATATTGAACTCAGAGGCTGCTCTGACATCCATGACTGAGCACGATGCCACTGGTGTGTTTAGGTATTGGGATATTATCAGGGACAGGTGTCATTCTCATGTTTATGAAACAGTGGTTTTATTAGACATAAACATTTAACTAATTAAAAGTGTCTGGCACTGAACACATAACATATTACCTGTGCAGTGGTCCATGTAGTACAGCATCAATAATTAACTCATTCACCCCTGAGGCATATTTGAACTCTTCTAATTAAAAGGCTGGAATAGTTCATTATGAGGCACAACATCACCAACACTGACAACAGGGAGGGAGGGGAATGAATCATAATACTGTACAATATGACCAAGATCTGGTCCATCAAGTCTCGCAGCACTTATACCACTGTTGTCTAGTCACTCAGCTTCTGTATCAGCCTTATTGTACAGTGTATTACCTTGTATGGGATGTCCCCCTATGGTAAATATTGACTCCACCACATAGGTGCCATCGCCATGGACACAGACTTGACTTAACCAGGATAGCCAGATGATTCAGAAAGAATACTAGCTAACATGTTTAGAGAGATAATACCGTTGAGAGTTACTTAGGTTTAATTTGCTGAGTATAGAATTGGTCTGTGATATATGTGGAAAAAACCTTGATAAAATGCAATCAACGCATTATTTATTCAATCAGTATGTTATTATGAAATTATGACGTTTATTTTTTCATTTGGAGGAACATGATCAAACAGCCATAAGCACCAGAGAATACAATACAAATACAGGTAGTTTGTATGTCAGCAGTCAAACACATACACGTGGAGACAAACTTTATCAATTAACTATTGTACAATATGGGATATATGGAGCATGTTTTTAGATAGTGTATGTGTTTGAAGACTTTAGGTACTGGATCGTTTTACATTGACATAAATTGTGTTTAGAATGTTAGATAGTCTGCAGGTGCTGA